GAAATATTTATTAACTACCGCAACACTTAAATATAAAAGTTTCAACTGAATAGACAAAACAGAAAATTACGGTTTTCTTATTGCAATATTTATTCAAATTTTAACATTGAAATTATAATTATGACCATAAAAAAGCCCTGGAACTCGTTGTTTCAAAATAATAAAATTAATTGAACACGGAGACAATAGGACAACTTAAACTTCTACTATATAGTCTTCCCGTCATGGAAATGATTGCAGTCGAAAAGGAAGTATTATAAAACACAAATCCTCATAATCCTGGTTTACTGTGGATTTACTAAACACGGACAGTCTGTGCTTCTTTTGACAATATTTGAGTAATGGCAGATTAAAAAGACCAAAAATGGGCTCTGTTAAAATGGATTGTGTCCCAGGTTGCGATGTATATTGTTGATGTATATTGGTCTCTCGCAGGAACTACAGTGTGTATATAAGTGAGACATTAGGTATTTTGGAAGCAAGAAAGATGAAAAATGAGCAACCGCCTTTGCCGGAATCGAACAGCGGACCTCTGGAATACGCGCCCAGCGTGCAGACCACCACATCACGAAGGCATGCCAAGAAGGCCGGAGAAATACCTTATAAGTGTATACAGGAAATACTTCAATTCCGAAAATATGTCCAGTCACAGTATACGTGAGTGCGTCCAGGTGTAGCAATCTACTGCCATCAGACAAAACCGGAATGTCATTTCCTAAAAAAAGATTATAATGACTCAAAAGATGGGGTAAACTTGTTAAACAACGCTCCAGTTCAAGGCTGGTTCTGCTCAAACCATCACTCAGAGAATTATACAGGATATTCTGAAGCGAGTATTCGGTAAATTTTGGTAACAGCTTACCAAATGCTATTATTGTTGACAGCACAGTAAAGGGTAGTGCGCTACAGCTTGGTCAGAGGGTATCATCATTAGTTTGTGAACATTGTCAAAGAATGACACCAAATTTCCTAGACGAATAAAGCACGTTTAGAACTCTTCCAAGTAAATGAACTTGTTTGTGTGCGCATGAAATCTAGATAAAATGAGAGCTGCGTCATTCTTTGCAGGGAACAATGCAGCCTTGAGCGAGTCTGGGAGTCAAGCGGATCATATGTGACGTTACTGAGAGACATAGCCCCAGAGCTCATAGAATCGGTAGCTTAAATCCGATGTTTTAAGCACAGTTAAGAGATTTCCATTTCCCGTTTTAAGCAATATTTTCTACCTTCGTGGTGTAACGGTAGCACATTCGGAGCGTATTCAAGAGGTCCAAGTTCGAGTCCCGGCGAGGGAAATGCACATGTTACGTCACCTGCTTCAAAATAATCTAGTGACTCTACAAGCTAAGTAACTTAAGGTTTGCATTAAAGATATCCTTAAGATATTCTTAAGCGGTTTCCAGGAAAATTCTTAAAAGTTAAATTAATAACATTATAAATTCATTTGTCTTTTCTACGTGCAACACTAAATTTCGCAACATAAAATAGAACTGCCTAAATAATTTAGAGATGTTGACATGAAAAATAGTTAAAATAGTTCTGATTGATAAATTATCAGATAAATGTTTAACCCAATGCATGCATTTAACTCCAGTAACTTCTTAACTAGAAGTTTAATGTAGTCAGATTCTTCCAAAAGGTAGCGAATTTTGCAAAACGCAGGTTATTAAATACTTTCATTTATAAAGAGCATGTTAAAATCATCTGCAATTCTGTATTTTTAATTAACTTCTTCAAAACTCCTTCAGAGCTGATCAGCTCATCAAATTCATTCGAAGCTCATCATCAAAGAGGGAAAAGTAAAATAAAATTTTGAAAGATGCTTCACCATAAAGAATACTGAATGAAAAATATGTTTCAATTTACGTAACTAAAGGGTTAAGGCACTCGTATATTAAGGGATTCATCCTGTAAGAAAAGAATTTTAGCTAAATAATGTGTATGAGCAATTTTGTAATATATTTATTAAAAGCACCGTGATTAAAATTTGATGGTGCTGCATTAAAAAAAATTTAAATCATTTATAAGAAATAACATAACCAAAGAATTATTTTAACGATTTGGGCATTTTTGATAGCTAAAATATGGGACTGAAAAATTCAAAATAATCTGTTAATGAAAATTCAAAGCAGTTACTGCTTTGAGTGCAATGGAGGTAGAACTAAATTTTTTACATTCGTTTCTGGTGCGAAAGTTATCGAAATTGAAATAATCCAAATAAATATAATGGACTTTTCATATGGATTCAGATTAGACTAATAGCTACTCTATGCTTTGAGGGCATAATTTGCGAATTCAAGAAGATGCAACTCTTGCTGAAGTCTTTAATTCTCCTAAATCAGTGAATCACAATTTTACATTAAATAATTTATTTCTGTAATTCCTATATCAGTAACATTTTTGTTGGTTACTGACACTTTTCATCTATATTCTTCAAGCTAGTACAATAAATAAAATTAAGCACAGATAAATTTTTTGAAGAATTATGATCATATATATTGCTTAAAAAACAATCTAATAGAAACACTAATCTTAAAATTTGTCTCAGATATGAATCATTCTGGTGGAAAAACGGACTAGTTATATGGGCTTCCTAATTTTTTTCAATGGTAATACCATTGTGAGTTAATTTAACTTGCAATTTCTTCTACAGAACCAACTATCTCAATATTTGCTTCAAAAGAGATGTCTTTATTGCTAAGCTATGACGAAGACAATTATTAACTACCGTATATTCCGGCGTATAACGCGCACTTTTAATACCAAAACAAAAAATATGATGGAAATTTACGGGTGCGCGTTATATACCAGATGTAAAAATGATCCATCTAAAAATTAAGAAAAGGAGAGCATACAGAAATTATATTCTACATATACCTAAATGCTGTTTATTTAAAAGAAATGACACACCTTATCAACTTCAAAATTTTCATTATCAGATAATTTCCTTTACATAAAGCATATTAATTATTGCGCTTTCATTCTTTCAGAGAAAACATCTGACTCCCAATTCCACGAATTCATTCCCCTCGGAAGTGCATTCTTACTCCAAGTTATCTCCCCTTTCCTCGAAACCTTAGACTAATAGTCTTGTGCACACCTGTACTGAAAATAACCCACCTTCTCTGCAGAGTTGTTTACTTCCTCAAGCGTTTCTCCCACATACATATTGTTTCGCTTATCACTTGTCAGTTCAATGCACCATTGTTCGAAATTCTGGGAAAAATCTTCGAATGAATGACTTCAAAACATAAGAGCACCACTCATATATCTTTCAGGTTTCTTCTTAAATAAAAAGGTGCTCGTTATACGGAGAATGTACCTAAAAATTAAAATGAGTTTAAGTTGTTTGAAATTATATGCTCGTCATACACCGGTGCGCCTTATACGCCGAAATATACGGCATTTGCTAAATATCTAAGAGCAATCCAATTGGTATAATATTGTGAAATGCATCACTGATATTTCGCCCACAATTAGCAGACATCACATTCCTAATTTACTTTCCAAGTAACTAACTGTTTTCGCAAACTAATGTATATTTTAAAGCAATTTAAAAGGATATTCAGCAACATTATAACATAGTGTTACAACTATCGGAATTAAGTTAATTTTAGATAAAAAGTGAATATGCTGAAAATGTAGTAAAAATTTAGAGCAGTTATGAAATAATATTTAAAAATTTAAAATTTAATAATAAATCAGTTGATTTATTATAATAAGCTATAATAAATCAACTGATTTATTATAGCTTATTATCAGCTTATAATAACATTTACGTGAGCTAAATATGTTAGAATGTTGACCAGAAAAACGTAATTAGATTTAAAATTTAAAAAGCAAATTTGTCAGTCATTCAAATTTACCAAGTTCAGGGTAAACCGAGGTACGACATTACTCGCTTCTTCCAGTTTCAGCAGCCGATGTATGGTATAAAACAGCAGTATGAAGCAGCAGTATACAGCAGTATGAAGGACCACCGCTTTCGGACACTTTGTAAAAGAGTTTACTAAAAAATGTAACAAATATTTTTATTAAAAGTATTATGTTTATTAGAACTTAATGTTATTATTTTTGTTAATCATGTTTTTATTAAATTAATGTTTATTATTAAAATATTACTAGCATTATTAAATTAATTTTGTGTTTAATTCACTTTACTATTATGTTTATTAAAGTGTTACAATTATGAGTTTATTAAAAAAATAAAGTACACGATTAATGAAGGTGACTGAAACACTCGAGTTTGCTTTAAGTGAAATATAACATAGGCGTTTATTTGTACACATTCCTATAATGTGTTGCGGAAAATGCTAAAACATTTTTTCATGCGAAAGGGTTTTTCCTCCATTCCAGTGAAATTCGATGCCATTTTAGTGTTCACATTTTTGTACACATATGAACAAGCATATATGATTCAGATTAATCACGTAGTATTTACATGAAAAAGAAATTTCCTTCTTTATTTAGTATTTAGAAGTATTTGGTTGTATGGGCCAGCAAGAGAATTCGTTATAATTCAAAGATTCTTAAATCTTACCTTATGACCGAAGGCAGACAAGATTTCTTTCTTAAGTGATATGAGTAAATAACTTCCGTTTTGTGTTTAATTTTTAAATCTTATATCACCTTACGAGACAAATCGTGAGCATTCATTTAATAGACATTTGTTCAGTTCTATTTCTTTCGACATTGCTAGGATAAAATCGTTTATATTGCCTCCGAAAAGAAAAGTTTTTGAAATGTTTCTTCGAGTAGGAAGAGAATTTAAAAATTACTCGAAAATGATTAAGACGCAAAAGAACGAAATTTTTTTTTATCTTTTAAGAAACCCATATTAAAAAAACTTTAAAACAGTAGAAACTCTATTGGTTATTCAATATATATTTATTGAAAACAGTCAGTGTTTTAAATTTGACTTCGTGAATTCTGATATTTGACACAAGTACAAAATAACGTAACATAATTATTATCTGATTTTGGTAACTTTGAATTTCCAGGTACTATTTTCCAGGTACTATCTTATTGCTAGAATGAAACTCATACGTTGGGTGGAAGTTCACATTGGCCGGTCAAGAAGGAAATCAAAGAAAGAAAAAGATGGGGTTGACATTTCTCGCAGAAACGATGAAAGTACTCCAAGCACACCCTTACACAAGATCGAACCCATTGGAAAAGATTTACCACGGTCCGCAGGGAGCACTCCACATAGGGTGAAACATCCACCTTCACCACATCCTATGCTAAGAGCACCAGAGACGCCAAATATAGAGAACCGATTACACATTCGAACAAGCTTTCTTGACACTGGTCTGATTCCTCTTTCTGCTCCCCAGCAAGTCGGGTTTGGATCATCTACAGCCCTAGATTCTCCAAGAGTGCGATGTCGGATTCGCACTAATCCATGGCTTCCATCACCCAAAAACTCAGACTGCGCTACATGGACGAATGGTATTCGGTCCTCCTCCATTGGATCTGAAAGTTCGGAATCAATCCCTGGAAGTGGATTTGGAAGCCAGTCTAGTGGTAGCCTTTGGGAAGGTAAGCAATTATTTTCCATTATGCAGATTTTAAAGCAGTTAAGAGCTGTGCCTACGTATTTTATCACCTGAGGCAAAGGGGCAAATGCGTGCCTCTGCATATAGTGTCGGCCGTTTAATGAAAAAAATAAATAAATAAATGGAAACAAAATAAAGTAAAAGAAGAAGAAACATGTCATATATACATGCGCACAGTCTAAGTTAGCTATATCTCTAAACTTTCAATTTCATTAAAAATATCTATTTCAAATTATAACACTACAGCCATTTACAATACTATTTAATCATAGATTTATATGCTAAAAATGACACATATAATATATAAAGAATTATAGTTTTGAAATGAAAAGATTTAAAAGTTTCCTCTTTTGATAAGTGACATACAACATATATATGTATGGGATAATATAAATGGCATTGTAATTAATATAAAAACTATCGCATTAATTTTTCAAACATTTTAATAAGCTAATTTTTTTAACAAAGTAAACTACTTTATTTCTTACTTAATATTCTGAAGAGAGAATGGCCATACTTGAAACTGTTTCTTGATCAAGTGAAAATTCGTATAATTTTTAAGCTTTGCCGAAACAACTTTCGCCATTAACAACAGCAGCTCGGAACGTTAAAAATATTTTTAACGCTGCTTTAAAATTCACATACGATTGATTTAACTTATATTCGTGGATTATTTTTAAAATATAAGCACATATCTGCTTTAATATCCAGAATTATCCAAATAGTGTGGTTTTTAAAACTAAGCATTTTTGACTGAATTTTTGCATCATTTACGTCGTTCGGAATTTAAGATATTACCTGTTGCTCTTAAATTGCTTAGATCCAATGGCATTCGTTTTTCTCCAGTTAGAAGCTAATAATCGGAACACATTTTGTTTAATATTTCGCATCTCCATTTCAATTTTGAGGTTAAAACATTAAACACTTCTTAAGTTCCGACAGTGAAAAAAGTATTTTTCTCTAAAATTCATTTTCTTAATCGATTCTTGACAACATAATTTATGAACCTTTCGTTTCTGTTCGAATTTTGTTGACATAATTATCTCTGAAGCTACAATTTTACATTTTTCTCAACTACTTTCAGAAATATTTCCCCCATCTGTAATGAAAAAAAAAAAAAAAAAAAAAAAAAAAGAAAGAAAGAAATTTTTTATTATGCGGCATTTTAGACTGTTATAGGTTTTCACTGCAAGACTTTACTCTCTGATTCTTGCAGCATTAAATTCCACGCTGATAACATATTCGTATATAAAACGTTTAAACTGATTTATTTCAAAAGGTTGTTATTTTCATCACATTGCAATGATTTACCATTTAATGCTGTATCTTTTAATAACCGATGTGGTTTGGTTATTTGTAAGTACAGTTCTTTAACAGCGTTTGTCCTTGATCCCCTTCACATACGAATGTTACTTACTTTGAAAAAAAAGGACATGTGTTTATAGAAATTAAGAACAGCGCGTTGAATTTAACGGTGTCTGTTAAGCAATAAAACTAGTTATGTCAAGTGCGTGTTGGACCAATAACGGAAAAATCCCGTACTTGAATTCAAGTTGTAGTTTCGGTATAAAAGTTTGAAATAAATTTTGGCCGCAATTGATTTATTAACGCTTAAAATCTATAATAGCTCTTAATTCGCTCTAATCTTAAGTAGGTAGTAACATTTATAAAAGCTTAACGTGATTTTAATATTGAAAATATTTGGCTTTGTTAAAATTATCATAACATGTTTCTATCGTTAATTCGATTTCTGTTACGCGCAGTGAACTCTATAGCTTCTTCAGTTCACTTTTCTTCACCTTTAATACCACTGTATCAAGATAGAACTGTGGCTGAATGGCAGCTTGTTCCAGATAGAACTGTGGCTCTGGCAGCTTGTTTTGGTACGGTTCATGGCGAACAGGTTAGCTGAGTGTAGTTTTCAAACGTTCCCCGTGTGTAACTTGAATACGAGACATTCCCTTATATAATATCCGGCCCTTAGACTATATTATTTTCTTGTGCATAAGTACTTGCTGTAGATACTCTTAATGCACATGGACCTAGATCGTACAGATCTGGCTCTCATCAGAGCTGTGTCTAGTTATTTTTTCAGAAGCAAAGAGGGAAACGTGAGCCTTTATATACAACCGAACTAACTATATATGTTCACTGTCATATTCATAAATTCTGAGTCACAATTTTCACGTAAGTCGTTAATACTACATGATCATTCTAATTTTTGCTAGGAATTAATGAGTGAATTATTTGGTAATGGCAAAGCTAACGTGGGCTCTCTGCTTAAGGGATGGAATACCTTGATGAAGGATTTTGTTTAAGGAAAACTGGGTAGAATACAAGTTATACATAAGGAACCCCACAGAAACCACTTTCACGGTGCCACTTCAGTGCCGAATTAAGCCTCTAACGGGCCCAAAAAAATTTTAATTGGGGACCATTTTGTATACGTTGCTTCTAACACGTAAAAGTATTATCAATAACAGAAACTACAAGCACCAATACAACAATAATTGTTTAACAAAATAGTTTCTGGTATATCGAAAAATATATATGAAAATGAATATCATTATAGACATTATCAGCCTTTAATAAATTTAAATTTTTCGTTTCAGGGTTTTCATTTCGGAAAAGTGATCAATATCATCTTCGTAATCAACTTTTTATATAAATTTTAACAATGAACGTGTAAGGACTTATGTTATTCTAACCAATTACTTTTAGTTTAACTTTCCTTTCCGTTCTGATTTCAGTTTCCTGCCGGAATGTAAATTTGTAATGACGTAGTTGTTAATCTAAACGTGTTTCAGAAGCAGTATTTAAGCTGCGTTTCAGAAGTTCAAAAAGAGTAGTAGCGTACTTAGTTCCGAGTTTATGCTACGTGTTTGAAACGAGCGCTCTCTAGTCGGTGTTAGACACCTTTCAGTTTATACTGATATTTTCTCGGTTTGGCTTTATTGTGTGCAGCCGATTTAACGTTAACCTAAGGAGTCAGTCGTTAGATATCTTAGTTTAATAGTGATCGGTTATTATCTTATTTTCTGTTAAATTTACGTTAGTGGTGGTGATTTGTGAGCACCAAGTGCGTACGCCTGTTTTAATTTAGTTTTTAAATAAAAATATTATTTTAAACCTTCCTCTGTAGTACTTGTAGGGTTTATATTTATTTTAACTAACATTTATTTTAAGCTATCTTTCCTGTCAAGCCTTTACTTTTCCCTGGAATTGTAAATTTTAGTAGAACGCGCAGAGTATTCAAATTTTTAGCAGAAGTAATTTGAGTTAAATAGAAGGGAAACGAGATTTGTAAGTGTGCTTTCTTGATTTCACGAGCGTGAAGGTTGCTAGGTAGAAATTAAAGAACCGCGCGTTTCGGCCTGTGTGTGCCTACTTCGGCAGTTAGTTGAATCTTTCAACTTCTAATTCCAGAAAGTTTGCTGAATCTCAGCTGTATCTTAGAACGCGGTTAAGTTAGTTACAATTATAGAGCCTCGTAGATAGTGACTTCGTTAGTTATGCATCCTGTTATTTATTTTTAGTTGTACTTTTCTATTTTTGTTACACCGCCGGGTCGGCGTAGTTTGTGAGCGTCAAGTGAACGCAACTGTAATTTCTAAAGTGAAATAAAAAGGGATTAAAACCCTTCTTACGAGTTTGTGTAATTTCCAGTTCATAGCAGTCACTACTACTGTTGCGGACAAGTTGGGGCCACGCAACATCACATTGGCGCCCGAACACTTTTCGAACTGAAATGGCCGAAAACTGGATGGAAGCTCCTGTACAAGTCCAACAACAAGAAATGGCGAACCAATTAGAAGGATTTGGATACCTGGTCCAGACGATGAGAGCATCAATCAAGCCAAACGTCAATTTCGACGGAAAAAATTCGGTGGCGATATTCTTAGAAGGCCTAGAAAATCATTTCAGCTGCTATACCCTGTGCCTGAAAGACAAAAGTTGCCATTGCCATGTCTGCACTAAGAGGACAGGCCTCACTATGGTGGAAGAATATAGGGAAATTTTTATTAGGGGAATTCGGAGGCCAAAACATATACCTTTGAAAATTTCAAAAGATCATTATTAAAGGCCTTCCCCATAGTGAAAGACCGAGCAAAGCTAGAAGCCGAGCTATATAGTTTTTATCAACGAAATATAGAAGAGTTGACGGACTTTATTCTGCGAAAAATTAAGCTGACGGATATGCTGTATGGGAAGAAACCCGACGCGGAGATTATTGAAATAATCTTACCAAGATTGCTACCTGCTGTTCAAGATTACTTCGAAATTCGAAACCCAAGCACCTTGCAGGAACTCTTCGAGTTGGCGGTCAAGTTCCAAAATCGCAGAATAGCGGAAAAAAGCTAGAGGGGCATCGTATTCTCAAGGTCTCCGAAGGCAATCCTCAAATCAACAGACCAGAAACACAAATCGCTCTTATGGGGGAAAAAAAGAGCTATCAAGCTAACTCATCGAAGCTCGAAGGTCAAGGCCCAAAAAGGAAATTTGAAAACAACCGTCCGCGTACCCAGAAGGCAGAAGTTGAAAGGAAAGCTTTAAACGAGTAGAGGGGCCTGTAAAAGCGAGGGTCCAGACCCCGGAAGTTTCGAAAAAACCCTCAAGAAGATACCTAAATACGGTCGTCGTAAAGAACTCACAATTACCGATTATACAAGTCCTGGTTGGCGATGTACCAGTAGAAGCCCTCATCGATACAGGGGCAGAAGGTAATTTTATGAGTGATACATTTTTTAAGAAGAATTTTAATAGGTTACGATTATTTAAAAAAAAAAACACAGAAATCATAGCAGCGCAAGGAAAAAACTTGTCAATGTATTGGGAAATTATCATTACAAATACAGGGTAAAAGATGAAAGCCTTCAAAGTATTAATTTTTGTGGTAAAAAATTCGCAAAGTCCACTTATTTTAGGTATGGAGTTTTTAAAAGCCGCGAAGGCCAAACTGAATTTTCAGGAAAATTCTATTAT